TGCACCACCACAGCTTGCACGCCTGGTGACTGACCTGGATACCCTTTGCAACGAGCGCCTGATGCAAATAATACGGGCTGCCGCAGTCAGCCAAGGGAGGCCGCGACAGCTCTGGGCCATACTGCTCGTCAAGGGCTTTCGCCGACAAAGCCATGACCCATCCAAGAACACAGGCGATACCTTGATCCGAGATGGCTACGGATGTGACAGTGATCAGTGATTTTGTTCGATGACGTGGTGACACACTGACTTGTTGTGGTAACATTTTCTGGGCGCTAGCTTAGTGTACGAACGCACGCCTGGCCGTTTAACCCTAAGGTGTCGGAACGCCCTAGAGGCCGAACGCGCCGAACAGGAATGTTGAAAACCATTGGTTATTGAAAGATTCAGCGAGAGCGCGCGGTGGATTTTCAGATTTTTTGGATGAGAAAGTCGTACGTTTTCATATGTTTTATTGAAGTCGTAGCTTGAAATTGTTGAAATCACAATGTGTTTGGCAGGATTTCGAGGTGCGCGCGCGGCGGCCGCGCGCATGTGCCCCGCGCGACATTTTTTGCAAGGGATGGTGGCCCCTGGCAGGCGCGCGAACGTCATCGAAAGAGTTCGACGTGCGCGCGAAAGTCGCCCGCGAAGCTCCGATGGGCAGGAATGTTGAAAAACCAAAAGTTTTTGAAAGATTCAGCGAGAGCGCGCGGGTGGATTTTCAGATTTTTTGGATGAGAAAGTCGTACGTTTTCACATGTTTTATTGAAGTCGTAGCTTGAAATTGTTGAAATCACAGTGTGTTTGGCAGGATTTCGAGGTGCGCGCGCGGCGGCCGCGCGCATGTGCCCGCGTGTCATTTTTTGCAAGGGATGGTGGCCCTCGCAGGCGCGCAGACGTTGTTGAAGCAGTTCGAGGTGAGCGCAAAAGTTGCCCTCGAAGCCCCGTTTGATAGGAATGTTGAAAAACCATTGGTTTTGGAAGGATTCAGCATGCGCGCGGGGGCAGATTTTCGGAATTTTTGGATGAGAAAGTGGTGTGTTTTCATATGTTTCCTTGACATCGCATCTTGAAATTGTTGAAATCACAGTGTGTTTGGCAGGATTTCGAGGTGCGCGCGCGGCGGCCGCGCGCATGTGCCCCGCGTGTCATTTTTTGCAAGGGATGGTGGCCCTCGCAGGCGCGCAGACGTTGTTGAAGCAGTTCGAGGTGAGCGCAAAAGTTGCCCTCGAAGCCCCGTTTGATAGGAATGTTGAAAAACCATTGGTTTTGGAAGGATTCAGCATGCGCGCGGGGGCAGATTTTCAGTTTTTTTTGATGAGAAAGTGGTGTGTTTTCATATGTTTCCTTGACATCGCATCTTGAAATTGTTGAAACCACAGTGTGTTTGGAAGGATTTCGACATGCGCGCGCGGCGGCCGCGGCGATGTGCACTTCGTTTCGTTTTTTTGCAATGGATTCTTGAAATGTGGTTATGTTAGAACAAGAAATGTCATTTTATATTGTTTTTTGCAAGGGAAAGCGGGGGGGGACAAAACAACCGGATCTGGATCACATCATTTTGTCAAGGGCTTTCGCTCGAAAATGATGAAAACAAGGCTGCGGCCTAGATAAAACGGGGGGGTCGCGCGCCAGGGGTCCCAACAATAATATTTCTTTAGAAGCAATAACATTCAACAACAACAACAACAACCACGACGACGACAACAACGACGACAACAACAACAACAACAACCACAACAACAACAACAACAACAACAGCAGCAGCAACAACAACAACACCACCAACAACAACAACAGCAACAGCAACAATCATTTTACCCGAACGCTCAGTGTTCTCACCAGTGCCAGGGTTTTCATGCGACGCGAGACAATACCCCCACTTCGTGGGGGGGCAGTTCAAGCTCTACCAAATATCCAAACGACTCTTCGCGACCACCCAAACCCAGCTTCCCGCCCTATGACGTTGGGACACTTCACTTCGTGGCGTGCGGACGACCGTGGCTACTACACTGGCGTGGGGTACACACCCACAGAACTTGGTCACTTATTCGGGGCGCGCGTGTGCCCAGCATCCTGCAATTGTGACATACAATACATGACACAGACAGACAGAGAGAGAGACAGAGAGCAGACAGAGAGAGAGACAGAGAGAGCGGAGTTGGTCACATTTTTGGGGCAAGTTCCTGAGATCGTCGTGTTTTTTGTTGGTCTTGCGCGCGCGAATGTCCACTTTACTTTTTTTTGCAAGGGAGTATTGAAATTTGATTATGTTAGAACAAGAAAAAGTAGCTCGCGCGAGCTCATGTAACATAAATGTTGAAAAACCATTGGTTTTGTGGGAGTCGGACAGCGCGCGCGGGATGAAATTTGGACATTTTTTTTTGAAAAACCATTGGGTTTTTGATGTTTTTATGTTGAAATCGTTACGAAACCTAAGGTTCTGGAAGGATTTCGTCTTGCGCGCGCGAATGTCCACTTTACCTTATTTTTTGCAAGGGATTATTGAAATTTGATTATGTTAGAACAAGAAAAAGTAGCTCGCGCGAGCTCATGTAACATAAATGTTGAAAAACCATTGGTTTTGTGGGATTCGGACAGCGCGCGCGGAAGGACATTTTGACAATTTTTTCTTAAAAAACCATTGGGTTTTTGATGTTTTTATGTTAAAATCGCTACGAAACCTAAGGTTTTGGAAGGATTTCGTCTTGCGCGCACGAATGTCCACTTTACCTTATTTTTTGCAAGGGATTCTTGAAATTTGATCAAGTAAGAACAAGAATTTTCATTTTATAGTGTTTTTTGCAAGGGACAGCGGGGGGGAACAAAACAACCGGATCCGGTACTAATCCACTTTTCTGAAGCTTTCGCTAGAAAATGAAGGAAATGAGGCTGCGGCCTAGGTTTTGGAGGGGGGTCGTGCACCAGGGGTCCCAACAATAATTATTCTTTAGAAGTAATAATGTTCAACAACAACACCAACACCAACAACAACAGCAGCAGCAACAACAACAACAATACTTTTAAGACTGTTCGCCCTTATCTGCTCGAGTGTCCAATACCGCGTATTTCCTAAACCCTCGATACCCGCCCTTTCCGTCTTCGATCGAACCCCTTTTGGGGGGTATACCTTTCTTCCCTGCAGGCCGGGCCCCGGCGAGCGGCGGGGCGGCCGCGGGCGGGGCGGCCGTGGACCGTCGACCCGACCCCCAGAGGGGCGGACAGGGGACCGACCACGACGAGGACGACGACGACGACGTCGACGGCGACGGCGACGACGACGACGACGGCAACGACGACGACGAGCGAAAGCGAGAGCGAGAGAGAACGACAGCAGGGCCACGAAGGACACGAAGTAGGCCACGAAGGGCGACAGCGGGGACACGAAGGGAATGCGCATGGGGCCACGAAGAGCGCGAACGAGCGGGGGCCACGAAAGGCAGATAATGCGAGGCCACAGAAGGCAACGATGGGGCCACTGAAGGTAGCAATTGGGCCACGTAGGACAGTGAGGGGGCCACGCACGGCGACGGCGGGGCCACGAAGGGCAAGCACATGGGGCCAAAACCGGCGCGAACGAGCGGGGGCCACGAAGGGCATGCGCATATTGGGCCGCGGAGGGCAAGAACGGGGCCACTGAGGGCAGCAACGGGGCCACGAAGGGTAGCGAGGGGGCCACGAAGGGCATGCACATGGGGCAACCGCGGGCGCGAACGAGCGGAAGGCCACGAAGGGCATACATATATGGGGCCACGAAGGGCAGCGAGGGGGCCACGAAGTGCCGCAACGGGGCCACGAAGGGCTGCGACGAGGCCACGAAGGGCAGCGAGAGTGGCCACGAAGGGCTGCAACGGGGCCACGAAACAAAGCGAGGGGGCCACGAAGGGCTGCAGCGGGGCCACGAAGGGCAGCGAGGAGGCCACGAGGGGCTGCAACGGGGCCACGAGGGGCAGCGAGGGGGCCACGAAGGGCTGCAGCGGGGCAACGAAACAAAGCGAGGGGGTCACGAAGGGCTGCAACGGGGTCACGAAGGGCAGCGAGATCCTAGGTAATCTGTGAAGGAATCCTAAGCGTGAGCGCGACTCCTGGGTGCCTGGGTGTCGGGGGCGCGGCGCTTGAGTAAATTGTAAGAAAATCCAACGCAAGGGCGCTATTCTATGGTAAATTGCAAGCACGTCTCCAGTGAAAGCGCGACTCCAGAGCGCCGGGAGTGCGATTCGTGAGTGAATTGTCAGGAAGTCCCAAGCGAGAGCGCAATTCCTGAACAAAATGCGAGGAGTCTCGGGCGGGAGTGGGGGTCCTGGCTAAATTGTGAGGAAGTCTCGGGCGGGAGCCGTTGTTGTTGTAGTCTGGGGGGCCAGGGGGCCAGTTTGAGCAGGAAGACTTTCTTTGACAAAAAAGGAGGTGCGAGCCACGGGGGGGGGCACTTCAATTGAAAAAATCAATGTGCACCGGTGTGGGGTGATCAACAATAATTATTCTTCAAGAACGACAGTTCAACAACAACGACAACAACACCACCACCACCACCACCAACAACAACACCAGCACCACCACCACCACCAACAACAACAACACCAACACAAACAACAACACCACCACCACCACCACCAACAACAACAACAACACCACCACCAACACCAACACCAACAACATCAACACCAACACCACCACCACCACCAACAACAACAACAACACCAACACCACCACCACCACCAACAACAACAACAACAATAACAACAACAACTACAACCGTTCGGGGGGGAAAGGGGTTTCGGCCCGACCGTCCCGCCCCTCAGATGAGCATGGGCACTATTTTATCACGTGCTCGACGCTGCTGCATGTGCCCGCCGCTACCGGCGCGGCCGGCAGATTTGGACTATGCCCCCGGGCTTACCCCTATGGGTGCCGGGGGTCCGGTCCCTGCCGGGCCCCATTCCTCACCCGCATGCGCCGTGGGCGGAATCGGATCCCGGCCCTACCGGGCTTACGAAACACTTACGACAGCAGACGGGGTCCTCCCCCAGGGCGTCCAAGTACGTGAACTCGGCGAGGCCGGAGCACCAGCCGCACCGCGCCTTCCACCTGAAAACGGGAAGGTCCGCGAACTGCGTGCTGGCCGGGATGTGAACCGCCCCGGAATCCGAGCGGGCGCACAGCGGCCCCCGTTTGCGCAGGACCGCACTGCAGTGGCCCAAGAAGTTGCGCAGCTCCGCGCGCTCTGCGTCTGAGTGGGATGCCTCCCGCCGCACTGCTGCCAGAGACTGCGTGGCCTCCTCGGCTGTCAGCCGGGCGGCGCGGATGACCTCGTGGAACTCGTGTGCGGCCTGCGCGGGGCGGTACTCCTGCGCCAAATTCACCAATGGGACTTCAGCAACGTAGCGAAGAACGACGTCCAAACTCCATCTGGCAAGGAGTCGGATGACTGGCAGGGAGACCCCCTGTCGGGCCAGCCACCGGGCGCCAGTAACACGCAGCGAATGACCGCCCCAGCGCCGGTAACCACCCAGCTCCATGATGTCGAGGCCGATGAGGCCGGCTACCGCCTCGACGCTGCGGACCGCCGCCTCCTTGGCCACTGCTGATCCCTGTGCCGTGGGGAACAAGGGCACGAGCGGCCCAGTGAAGCCAATGTCGTCGAGGTGCGCGAGCTGCTCGGCCACGGCGCGGTGCGCGCGCGGCATGCGCCGCCGAGGCCCGACGACTTGACGACACACACACACACACACGTCCAGCTCCGCAGTTTCCCAAGGCCTCGATGGTCGGTCTTCGCGAACGGCAGCGTCCAGTCCACCGCCTGCCTGGCTGGATCGAGCGTGACATGGCTGCGGAGCGCCAGCGACAAGTCGATCTCCCTGGTGCAGAATAGGCCCCCTGCCTCAATGGCCCGGCCAGGTCCACAATACCCTCCAGCGGCGACGGGTTCGTCGCCGAGGCGGAGGGGGGCCACCTGGTCCAGCGGGAGATCGGCTGCCTGATGGGCCGGCCCGATGCCGCGGGAAACACTGCGGCTGGCCCCCCGGGTAGCTTTGTCTAAGGCCGGGGTCCAAGGGAAGTCGAACTCGACGCGCCGGTCTTTGGCGCGCGCCAGGTGTTGTTCGACGGACCGATAGCCCCCAGCTTTAAACGTGGCGCACACCGTCTGCATGGGGCAGGCCGCGAAGGGAAGTGGGCTGAGGCCGGAGCCCTCGCCCTCAGGTCCAGCCGAAATCGAAATGGAAATCTTCCCAAGACGTCTTGAGGAGAGAATCCCGGTTGCGGGCAGTGGCGCTGTAGACGTTGCCGACTAAAGAAGCAAGAGCCCCCGACCGGGACTCTTCCGCGGCCGCTGCCGCCAGGGCCAGCGCGCGGGAACCCCGCCAGAGCCCAGGCAGACGTGGTGCATCCCGGCGGTCCGCAACGGCGCAGCCTGCAATGGGCGGCGCCGGGCCCGCCAGCGGCGGAGGAGGCGCCGCTGGATGAGCGTCGCGCTGCGCGGCCCCTGGGGGCACCGCAGCGCGCGGAGCCAGGGGCGCCGAGGCTGGCGCCGAACGCTCGGTCTGGTTGTGGCTTGCCGCGCGTCGCGTCGAGACGCGGCCCTGCCGAGAATCGCCCGGGGGCGACGTGGCCCGGCGCCGGCGGCCCCGCCAGGCCAGCTGCACTGCGGAGGCCACCGAAATGCGTGCCAGCGGAACCATATGCGTCCAGAGTAGTTCGGTGGCATAGCGCTCGCAGTGCAGGCACCCGCGAGGCGGCGCAAGGAGCTCGAGCCACATGGGCAGCGGCGATTGGCGATGGGCACCCTCTACCACAGAAGGCGCAGCGACCACCGCAAGGCATGGGCAACGCGGCCGGGACAAAAAGGAAGCACCCTGCACGGAACAGAGGCTGCCAGCACGTCCTCGCAAGAGCCTCGCGCCGGCGGCAGCAGATTCGCTAGCCGCGCCACTGGAGCGAAGCAGAGACCGCCACGTGACGGGGCGGACGCACGGCAGGACCGCCATGGCTTACACCACCCGTCCCAGGCCCCCTGCACGGAAAGGCTAGCCCTGCGGCAGGCGCTGCCAAACAATATGCCACCCACGCCGAAGCGCCCGAACCCAGGCGGGTAGCGCACCAGTTCCGCCTGCCGGCGTACTGATGCGAGGCCTTTTCCCGCCTACCGGCGCACTGGCCAATGGAGGATTGCGTGGGCTGTCTTGCCTTACCGGGCTGCGGCACGCGGCAAAATGAAACTCCCTTGCTCTCCCTGGCGAACCATGATCCCACGATGAGCTCGGGGGGGGGGAGGACGAGGACAAGAGGTCGCAGGCAAATGCGGTAAGATATATCCACATACATGCCGATGCGGCGACATCGCTGCAACTTTCGCGCAAACGGGTGCATGCAGCAGGCGGCGGCAAGTCCGGCCACCTGATTGTACGACGAGGTCCCCAGATGTGGCCCCATAGGAACTCACCGCTCTGACAGCGAATTCCAAAGGAACTAACCTACTCAAGAGCTCGCGACGCAGCGAATCCTCCTTCCGCCTCCCGCCGGGCGGCGGTTCCAGCGAGCAGGCGGCCCGCCTGGCGGCGGGGCTGCTGGCTGCCTTCCGCCTGTCGGCGCGCTGCGACATCATGCTCCTTCCGCCTCCCGCCGAACGGCGGTTCCAGCAGGGGGCTGCCAGGTGCCTTCCGCCTGCCTGCGTGCTAAGGCATCGCCGTCGCCAGCTCGTCGAAGTACTCCGACACCGCCCCCTTCTCGACGGCCACCTGCAGCGCGGCGGTGTCCAGCGTGAGGGAGAAATCCACCGTGCGGGGTGGGGGGATGATCTCGGGAACCTCCGCGGGGATGGTGGGGGCCACGAGATCAACGCCGGGCTGCTGCTTCCGGCTGAGGGCGTCCGCCACCTTGGAGGAGACCCCAGGGTTGTGGACGAACACGTCTGGATGGAAGGACCCATCCCCCAAGTCCAATGCAAGCTCCCTTGCAATGAGGTTCAACGCGAATCCTTTGCCCCGCAGCCCGGGAATCACGCTGGGGGCCGTGACGTTGTCCGAGCGAATTTCGAGCATTACCCGGGTCTGCGACCAGGAGTCCTTCCAGACCCTCAGGGCGATGAGGAAATTCAGCGTCTCCCACACTTGCTGGCCCAGGTGGGGGCCGATCTCCAGCTGGAAGAGCTTGGCATCGAAGTCCGTGACCGCCATGGAGTACCACGAGACGACCTGGCCACCGAAGAGCAGGTAGGCCCCCATGCCCCAGGGAGACGCGCCCCCAACGATGCGCAGCTCCTTGTCGAGGCCGAGGTAAGCGTCCAAGAGATAGACTCTCGTCACGGCACTGCGAACACCAGACAAAAACGCCCTGAGCCACAAGAGAGCGTGCTCAATGACCCGAATCCAGATACAGCCTGGCGGCGCGTTGCCCGCGTTGCCGGCCAGACCAGCATGCAGGGCGGCCCAGAGCTCCGAAAGAAGCGGCCCCCATACCCACAGCACCGTGGCGAAGTGGCTGGCGAGCCCGATGAACGAGCTAAGCCCCTTGATGGACAATGCGTTTCCTGCCGGGTACTTGGCGACCAGGGCTGAGAGCTCACCTTCTCCGCCGAAAGCGTCACGGAGACCCGGTCGTCGGAGACGTCGAAGACGCGCCCTACCCGCGTGACCGTCCGTCCCCGCTGGGCCTTTGCGAAGGCCAGGGGGAAGCCCAGCACTCGCCAGACGAGGATCGTGATGGCGATGATGCGGTCACGCTCCTTCTTGCTGCCACGCAGGCACGTGTCGGGGTCGTCCACGTAGAGCTGGGCGCGGGCCGGCGGTCCCCTGGACGCGTCCTGCAGGAAGAGGGACTGCGAGCGACGCATCAGGAGGGAGGCGACGGCCGCCCACGCAAGTGGCCCATTTCGGCTGCCTTGCGCCGCCCGCAGGTACACCAAGAATTCCCCTTCGGCTTTGCCCACGAAGTGGCGTCTCTCCGCTGGGCCCAAAGGTGCGTTTCAAAAGGCGTCCACGAAATCGTGCGCGAAGTACTCCGCGTCGCGCTCGGGGCACCCCGCGGCGACCTTCTCGCGGCGGGCGGCAAGATGCAGGAGCGCGTCCCGCACCGCATCTGACCCTCGAGGGAGCACCGCGCGATGGGTCTTGCGCGTGCAGCGCGAGACGGCAGACTGCCGCAAGTCAAGGACGATGCGGCGCTTTACCCGGCCGCGCTTCTCCTTGACTCTGACCGCGAAGCGAGATATGACGGGCTCGGCCTTGAGGTGCTCCCTGAGTGCTGGGAGGTCGCCGCGCACATGCAAGTACCCAGCGTCGATGAACTTGCGGACCTCGGCATGGGCCGCTGGGTCATGGTCGAAGCTCGAATAGTTCAGGAACTCCTCTGGCGCGTCGCACGCCTCCGACGGGTCGTCCGGCGGAGCGGCGGAGTCGGCCCCTGGGGAGATCGCGTCGGCTGCCGCGGGGTCCTCCTCAATGCCAGCTGGGCCCCCCGCCCACGGCCAGCGGCGTACTGCGGCGCCTGAATCCGACGCCGCTTGCGCCCACCTGTGGAGTAGGCAGGCGCGGATGGGTGAGGAGCAGACGCCGGTGTCGACCGCCTGGGCATCCTCCGCGCGCAACACCTTCGCCGGCTGGGACCGGACGTGGTCCAGCTGAGCCTCAGAAGGCCTGGAGTCCAGGCCCCCCTCGCTCTGCCGCGGGGGCTCCACTGCGCGCAGCAGCGATGCCTCGAGGGCGGCGTCTTGATCCAGCGCGCGGTCGAAAAATCCGCGGAGGATCGCCCCGAGCTTCCTGTGGCCGTCGATGCGCAGCATTGCGTCGGCCGCGTTGCGCAGGCCAGCGAGAGAATCCCGATCCCGTTGCCGCCGCAGCTCCCTGGCGTCGTGCTGCTCGCCGCGGAGGCGCCCGGGGAACTGCGCGCGGGCTGGCTCGAGCGCAGCTGCGCCCAGGCTGCCGGCCACGGACGCGGCTGTCGGAAGCGGCGCCTCCAGGGTGGCCCTGGGCGGCGGCTGACCTCCAGAGGGGATTGCTACGGCCGTTCCGCCTGCTGGCGTACTCTCGCCGCGGCCCCCCCGCCAGCTTCGCGCGCGCGGCGGGGCGCGCGCGGCGTCTGGCGCCGAGGCGGCCATGGCGGCAGCAATGAAGCCATCGCCGACGATTCTGCTGAGCTTCCCCAGCGGCGCGCGCCACGCGCGCGGCGGGTGTTCGCGTCTCGACGGGAGCCCCTCGAAACGCACCGCGCCTCGGAAGGCAGCGGGCTCCGCGGCCGAGGCGCCGAGGCAGCAGTGCACGAGCGTGATGTCCGCGGCCCCTGGGCGCTCGAGGAGCGCCTTGACCTCCGGAAGGTTCAACGTAGATGGGAGGCCCGGCCTGGGCGCCGGACCCCCGAGGGCCCACGGCGCCCCGATGTCGGCGCAGACGCCTGCCACCTGGACAGCGCGCAGCGCCGGCAGCATCTCCAAGCGGGTCGCCTCCTTCTCCTGGGAGAGCCCCGGCAGCCCGTGCGGGTCGGGCGGCTCGGCGCCGCGGAGCGGCCGATGACTCGCTCCGCGCCCGTCGCCGGCCCCGCAGACTGCCGCGAAGGTGCGGCGCGGTGGCGAGATGCGCGCGCCGGAATACATCTTGGCCTGGATCGACCTCGCGACGCCCTCGGCCACTCGGTCCTCTGCCACGTCGCGCATGCCCCCCCCCGATGCAAACGTCGATCATGTCTATTTCGGCGCCCCGAGCGGCCGCCCAGGTGCCCGAGCCGCCAGGGCGCCCTGCAGGCCCTGAGAAGATCGCGAGTAGCCGCGGCGGGCGCTGCAGGGAAGGCAGAAACGTGGCCGGACGCAGCGACGCCCCTGGTGGCCACGACGACGCAGGGAGAACCAGGCGCGGGCCCTTGCCGAGACCGGCGCGCCCCGACGCGGGCGCGCCGGGGAACGTTGACCACGTCGGTGATGATGATGTGCAGGTAGTGGTACGTGGCGATGCTGAAGTGGCCGGACTTGTACAAGCACGCGCGGCCGTGTCCGCAGACGGGAACTCCGGCGTGCTAGCCGTCATTGCCCCCGGCGAAGCACTGGCCACCGGGGTCCGTGCGTCTAAGCGGCCGCCCCGCCGGCCGCCGCCCCGGCCCCGGCCGCGGCCGCTGCCCTTGGCTCCGAAGGAGGCCGACTCTCGAAGGACCGCGGTGCACTGCGCGGCGCCGTGCTTCCGGTAGAGGCACTTGGCGCACTGGTGGACCCGACTCGAGTCACGGGCGCACACTGCGCCCTGGACGGTCTCCTTGCACGACCCGTCCTGCCGACCCGTGCAGAATTCACGCCGCGGCGGTTGACCTCGCGGAGGCCCCCAAAGACCTGGTGCTGCTTGGCCGGCCTGGGCGCCGCCTGGCGCGACGGTGGCGCCGGCGGCCTTGGCCGCTTCCCCGTCGTCTGAGGCGGCGGGGAGGCTGCGCTAGCTTCCATGGCGCGCGCCGCCACCGGGGCATCGCCCTCGACGTGGTCCGCCAAGCTGTGCATCTTGGAGAGCACGAGCTGCGCCGGGCGCTCGACCTCCTCCCCGACGCGGCCCCGGTAATCGGTCATGGCCGCCCAGGCGAAATTCCAAGGACGGTTGGGGTCGTAGGCGGTCGCGACGCCCGAGGGCCCGGGCTCGCCGGCGGCCTTCGCGTCCTCCATCTCCCTTCGCACGCGCTCCATCTCCTCGAGGCGGGCGCGGACGTCCGTTTGGTAGATGATCGCCCAGCGAGCCTTTCCATGCAGATCGCGAAATTCGGCGATCTTTTTGGAGCGCACCAGAAGGTTCCCCAGATCGACCGCGTCGAACCCCAGCAGGCACGTGATGGCTAGCTCGTAGGCCGCCTGCCAAGTGTCAAGATCGCCCGGCCCGAGCAGTTCGACGTTCTGCAAGGCGCCATTCGGCCCGAAGCGCATCCCGGTGAAGCGCATTCGGCGGAGCAGGCGGTGCTGGTTGGGACCCCGCACGCCAAAGTCGAGGCATGGGCCCCCCCCCCGTCCAACATGCACTTGAGCCCGCCGAGCTGCACGGGCGTGCACTCCTGATTGGGAAGCGGGTTGCGTCCGAACACCGCCTTGTATTTGGCGAAGTGTGCTGCGAGGTCTGGCTTGGGCAGCGCCGCGATGGTGCCATTCATGGCCTGGTTGATGACGAGTTCAAACTCGCCGGTCGTCGGCGCGCTGCCTGGCGATGCCGCCGCTGCCGGCGAAACGCCAGGCGCCGCGGGCGCCTGCGCCGCGAGGGCAGCGGCGGCGGGCGCCGCCGCGGCAGTTGCCTGCGCCTGCGCATGCGCTGTGGTTGCCTTTATGGCCGTCGCCCCGCGCGCCAGCGCCGCAGCGTGCCAAGCTAGGACGAGGCCGCGCCGCTGTATGGGCGACGTGGCTGTCCCGTCCTCGTTCTTGACGTTGTCGATGTGGCCAAAGACCTCGGCCTCTGACATCGTGCCCAGCAGGCGTGGAGCCTCCGAACCGTTCGCGCCGATGACGGTCAGGAACGCGCTCCCCAGATACTCCTCGCCTGGGACTCCAGCCCAATCCATGGCGGCACCAATGGACGTGATCGCGGCGAGCTCATCGGTAGTGGGTTCCATGATCCGGCTGGCGTAACAGGGCGTACCCCCCGCGGGGTGAAAAGTATGATTTTTCCTGTCCTGGCCGTTGGGCTTAGGAATGGCTCGAGCCAAAATGCCAACGGACCAAATTGTTTCACAAGCTTCGGGGACCAATCCCCACCTCCGCCCAGCGACCCCGCCCCCCTCCGATTGTAATGGCCGCACTTCGTGCTACTACAACAACAGCAACAATAACAACAATAAAACAACAACAACAACAACAACAACAACAACAATCATTTTACCCGAACGCTCAGTGTTCTCACCAGTGCCAGGGTTTTCATGCGACGCGAGACAATACCCCCACTTCGTGGGGGGGCAGTTCAAGCTCTACCAAATATCCAAACGACTCTTCGCGACCACCCAAACCCAGCTTCCCGCCCTATGACGTTGGGACACTTCACTTCGTGGCGTGCGGACGACCGTGGCTACTACACTGGCGTGGGGTACACACCCACAGAACTTGGTCACTTATTCGGGGCGCGCGTGTGCCCAGCATCCTGCAATTGTGACATACAATACATGACACAGACAGACAGAGAGAGAGACAGAGAGCAGACAGAGAGAGAGACAGAGAGAGCGGAGTTGGTCACATTTTTGGGGCAAGTTCCTGAGATCGTCGTGTTTTTTGTTGGTCTTGCGCGCGCGAATGTCCACTTTACTTTTTTTTGCAAGGGAGTATTGAAATTTGATTATGTTAGAACAAGAAAAAGTAGCTCGCGCGAGCTCATGTAACATAAATGTTGAAAAACCATTGGTTTTGTGGGAGTCGGACAGCGCGCGCGGGATGAAATTTGGACATTTTTTTTTGAAAAACCATTGGGTTTTTGATGTTTTTATGTTGAATCGTTACGAAACCTAAGGTTCTGGAAGGATTTCGTCTTGCGCGCGCGAATGTCCACTTTACCTTATTTTTTGCAAGGGATTATTGAAATTTGATTATGTTAGAACAAGAAAAAGTAGCTCGCGCGAGCTCATGTAACATAAATGTTGAAAAACCATTGGTTTTGTGGGATTCGGACAGCGCGCGCGGAAGGACATTTTGACAATTTTTTCTTAAAAAACCATTGGGTTTTTGATGTTTTTATGTTAAAATCGCTACGAAACCTAAGGTTTTGGAAGGATTTCGTCTTGCGCGCACGAATGTCCACTTTACCTTATTTTTTGCAAGGGATTCTTGCAATTTGATCAAGTAAGAACAAGAATTTTCATTTTCTATTGTTTTTTGCAAGGGAAAACGAGCGTCAACAAAAAACCGGATCCGGACTCATCCACTTTTCTGAAGCTTTCGCGAAAAAATGATGAAAATGTAGCTGCGGCCTAGGCGCGGCGCAGAGGTCGCGCACCAGGGGTCCCAACAATAATAATTCTTTAGAAGGAATAATGTTCAACAACAACAACAACAACAACAACAACAGCATCAACAACAACAGCAACACCAATAACACCGACAACAACACTAGCAACAACACTAACACCACCAACAACACCAACAACAACACCAACAGCAACAACAGCACCAGCAACAGCAACACCAATAACTCCAACAACAACACTAACAATCATAACAACAACAACCACAATCAGTTTAAGACTGTTCGCTCTTATCTGCTCGAGTGTTCGTTGACGCGTAGTTCCCGAGCCCTCGATACCCGCCCTCCTCGTCTTCGGTCGTACCCCTTTGGGGGGGTATACCTTTCTTCCCTGCAGGCTGGGCCCCGGCAAGCGGCGGGGCGGCCGTGGACAGTCGGCCTGGCCAGCGCCAGCGCTGATCGGCGGCAGCCCGACCCCAAGGAGGCCGGACAGGGGACCGACCACGACGACGACGACGACGACGACGTCGTCGACGACGACGGCGACGACGTCGTCGGGGGCATTTGGGGGGGCCACAAAGGGCGACAGCGGGGCCACGAAGCGCATGCATATGGGACCACGACGGGCGCGAGCGAGGGGCATTTGGGGCCACGAAGGGCATGTGTATATGGGGCCACAAAAGGCGACAGCGGGGGGGCCACGAAGGGCGACAGCGGGGCCACGAAGGGCATGCATATGGGGCGACGACGGGCGCGAACGAGCGGGGGCCACGAAAGGCATGCGTATACGGGGCCGCAGAGGGCAAGGACGGGGACACTGTGGTCAGCAACGGGGCCACGAAGGGCAGCGAGGGGGCCACAAAGGGCGACAGAGGGGCCACGAAGGGCATGCATATGGAGCCACGGCGGGCGCAAGCGAGCGGGGGCCACCACGAAGGGCATGTGTATATGGGGCCGCAAAGGGCGACAGCGGGGCCACTGAGGGCAGCACCGGGGCCACGAAGGGCAGCGAGGGGGCCACGAATGGCGACAGCGCGGCCACGAAGGGCATGCATATGGGGCCACGACGGGCGCGAACGAGCGGGGGCCACGAACGGCACGCGTATACGGGGCCGCAGAGGGCAAGGACGGGGACACTGAGGGCAGCAACGGGGCCACGAAGGGCAGCGAGGGGGCCACGAAGGGCGACAGCGGGGCCACGAAAGGCATGCATATGGGGCGACGACGGGCGCGAACGAGCGGGGGCCACGAAGGGCATAACATCCGAGGCCACAGAGGGCAGCGACGGGGCCGCTTAGGGCAGCACGTGGGCCATGAAGGGCAGCGAGGGGGCCACAAAGGGCGACAGCGGGGCCACGAAGGGCATGCATATGGGGCCACGACGGGCGTGAGCGAGCGGGAGCCACGAAGGGCATGCGCATACGAGGCACAAACGGCGAAGAAACGGGGTCCACGCAGGGCAGAGAGGGGGCCGCGAAGGGCGACAGCATGGCCACGAAAGGGCATGCACACAGATGGGGCCACGAAGGGCATGCATATGGGACCACGACGTGCGCGAGCGAACGGGGGCCACGAAGGGCGTAACATCCGAGGCCACAGATGGCAGCGACGGGGCCGCTGAGGGCAGCAGAGGGGCCACGGAGGGCAGCGAGGGGGCCACAAAGGGAGACATCGGGGCCACTGAGGGCAGTAAAGGGGCCACGAAGGGCATGCATATGGGGCCACGACGGGCGCGAGCGAGCGGGGGCCACGAAAGGCATTCGTATACGGGGCCATAAACGGCGACAGCAAGGCCACTGAGGGCAGCACCGGGGCCACGCAGGGCAGCGAGGGGGCCACGAGGTGCGCGAGCGAGCGGGGGCCACGAAGGGCATACATTCCGAGGTCGCAGAGGGCAAGGAGGGGCCGTTGAGGGCAGCACCGGGGCCACGAAGGGCAGCGAGGGGGCCACAAAAAGCGACAGAGGGGCCACGAAGGGCATGCATATGGGGCCACAACGGGCGCGAGCGAGGGGCATTTGGGGCCACGAAGGGCACGTGTATATGGGGCCACGAAGGGCGACAGCGGGGCCACTGAGGGCAGCAAAGGGGACCACGAAGGGCAGCGAGGGAGCCACAAATGGCGACAGCGGGGCCACGAAGGGCATGCATATGGGGCGACGACGGGCGCGAACGAGCGGGGGCCACGAACGGCATGCGTATACGTGGCCGCAAAGGACAAGGACGGGGACACTGACGGCAGAAACGGGGGATGGGGCCACGACAGGCGCGAACGAGCGGGGGCCACGAAGGGCATGCGGGGCCGCAGAGGGCAAGGACGGGGCCACTGAGGGCAGAAACGAAGCCATGAAGGGCATGCATATGGAACCACGAAGGGCGCGAGCGAGCGGAGGCCAAGAAGGGCATGCGCATACGGGGCCGCAGAGGGCAAGGACTGGGCCACTCAGGGCAGCGACGGGGCCACGAAGGGCAGCGAGGGGGCCACAAAGGGCGACAGCGGGGCCACGAAGGGCATGCATATGGGACCACGAAGGACGCGAGCGAACGGGGGCCACGAAGGGCATAACATCCGAGGCCACAGAAGGCAGCGGCGGGGCCGCTGAGGGCAGCACTGGGGCCACGAAGGGCATGCATACGGGGCCACTAAGGACACAAGCGAGCGGGGGCCACGAAGGGCATAACATCCGATGCCACAGAGGGCAGCGACGGGGCCGCTGAGGGCAGCGCCGGGGCCACGAAGGGCAGCGAGGGGGCCACAAAAGGGCGACAGAGGGGCCACGAAGGGCATGCATATGGGGTCACGACGGGCGCGAACGAGCGGGGGCCACGAAGGGCATTCTTATACGGGGCCACAAAGGGCGACAGCGGGGCCACTGAAGGCAGCAAAGGGGCCACGAACGGCAGCGAGGGGGCCACGAAGGGCGACAGCAGGGCTACGAAGGGCATGCGTATGGGGCCACGACGGGCGCGTGCGAGCGGGGGCCACGAAGGGCATACAATGCGGGGCCACAAAGGGCAGCGACAGGGCGACGGAGGGCAGCAACGGGGCCACGAAGGGCAGCGAACGAAGGCGACCGCGGAACCTGTACGGGCAGCGGGGGGCATGGAAGACGGGCGAAGGGCAGCGAGCGGCGACTGCAGTCATTAACGGGCTGGTCGTGCGGACAGGCCCCCGCGGGCGGGTCGAGCGGGCGGGTCGTTGAAGCGTGAGTCCTGCTAGAGCAGCCTCGCAATATGTAGCGGGAGCGCGATTCCTGAGTGTCGAGGCGCGGCATCTGAATAAATTATGAGAAGATATCAAGCGAAGCGGTTCGGTGGTAAGTTGCGAGGAAGTCCCGAGCGAGAACGCGACTCTGCAATACGTTGTCAGGAAGTATCACGCGGGAGCCGCGATACGGTTGTAAATTGCCAGAAACTCCCAAGCGAGAGCGCGATTCTTCAATTACTTGTGAGGAATATCAGGCGGGAGCCGTCGTTGTTATTGTTGTTGTTGTTGTTGTTGTTGTTGTTGTTGTAAACCGGGGGCCAACAACGCAGTTTTACCCTCGAGACTTTCCCTGCTAAGCAACAGGGTGCGAATCCCGGGAAGGGCACTTCAATCGGAAAAATGCAATGTGCACCGGGCGGGGGGAACAACAATAATTATTCGTCTGAAATGAAAATCCGCCGATCCAGCGCGTGAGTTTCTGAGAGCGCGGGCTTGAGCTCGCTCAAGCTTCGCTCTGCGGGGGGGGACTTCATTTCCGACCTAATTCAGTGCTTCGCAGGGGGGGGGGCCTTGATTTCCTACATATTTCCAGTGCTTCCCCCCCCCCCACCCACCCCCCTTTCCAGAGCGGACCCCCCCCCCTGCAGAGCGCCCTCCCCCCCTCCCCTCCTGCAGCCCAGCCGCCCCCCTTGCAGAGCGGACCCCTCCCTGCAGCCCCCCCCCCCTGAAGAGGAAGACCCCCTCCTGCACCCCCTCCCCTGCAGAGCAGACCCCCCCCCCCCTGCAGAGCGGCCTCCCCCCCTGCCAGCCCCTTCCCCCCCCCCCCCCCCCTGCAGAGCGACCCCCCCCCCCCCCCCCTCCTCCTACTCCCCCCCCCCCCCCCTCCCCCCCCTCTGCAGAGCAGAAGACCCCCCGTCCTGCACCCCTCCCCCTGCAGAGCGGGCCCATCCCCGCAGCCCAGCCCCCCCCCCTTCCCCCTGCAGAGCGGACCCCCCCCCGCGCAGCCCCGCCTCCCTTCAGAGCGCCCCCCCCCCCTCAACTCCCACAAGCTGTGCAGGTCGTGCACTCCCAGGTGCCAGGGTCGCGGACACACAGGGGTTCACAAGCAGCGCGGGGCGCCGCGGCTCTAATTCGGACACCGGGACGGGCCGACGCAGAAAAGCGGGCCAGGAAGGGCCAGAAACGGGCAAGAGAGCGAGGAACCGAGGAGCGAGAAGGGGCGGGGGAAAGGGAGGGAGGACGACGGGCAAGGACAGACCGGGCCGACAGACGGACGGACGGGGGGACAGGGAGGGGAAGCCAAGCAGCAGGGGAGGGGGAGAGCACACGACGCACAAAGGCAAGGAAACACGAGGGCAAAGGGGGGCGACACTGAAGGGGAAGGGAGAGGGAAGAAGGGGGAGGAGCCGGGGGCCGGGGCCAAGGCAAGGCAGAAGGCGGGCCGAGAAGCGCACCAGAGCGACGGCGCAACAAGAAAATTGCCGGCGTCCCTCAACTTGGGATTGTCTCTGCGGCGCAACCGGCCGAATCGAGCATCCAATGCGAGATCAGACAATCAAATAATAAGGAGTCGGGCGGAGGGGGGAGGAGGAAGGGAGGGAGGGGAGAGGGGCAGCCAAGCTGCCTACACCTCCGCGTGCGCGTCCGTGTCCCACATGATCTGCCGGACGGCTGTCGGCACGGCCCCCCCTCCCCTGCACCCCCTCCCCTGCAGAGCAGACCCCCCCTCCTGCAGCCTCCCCCCCCCCTCCCCTGCACCCCCTCCCCTGCAGAGCAGACCCCCCCTCCTGCAGCCTCCCCCCCCCCTGCAGAGCGGACCCCCCCTCTCCCCTGCAGTCCCTCCCTCTGCCGAGCGGACCCCCCCCCCCTGCAGAGCAGACCCCCCCACTGCAACCCAGCTCCCCCCCCGTCGTCGTCGTCGTCGTCGTCGTCGTCGTCGTCGTCGTCGTCGTCGTCGTCGTCGCGTCGTCGTCGTCGTCGTCGTCGTCGTCGTCGTTGTCGTCGTCGTCGTCGTCGTCGTCGTCGTCGTCGTCGTCGTCGTCGTCGTCGTCGTCGTCGTCGTCGTCGTCGTCGTCGTCGTCGTCGTCGTCGTCGTCGTCGTCGTCGTCGCTCGCGTCATCGTCGTCGTCGTCGTCGTCGTCGTCGCTCGCGTCGCCGTCGTCGTCATCGCCGTCGTCGTCGTCGTCGTCGTCGTGGTCGTTGTCGTCGTCGCTCTCGTCGTCGTCGTCGACGTATTCGTTTTCGTCGTCGTTTTCGTCTTCCTCGTCGTCGTTCATTTCCACAGGCACCCGGAGCGCCCCGGATCGGCGGCACTGGCCGGAGGCCACTACAATCCAAGAACAACAGCAGCAACAACAGTAACAATCAGTTTAAGACTGTTCGCTCTTATCTGCTCGCGCGTACCTCAGCACGTATATCCCAAACCTCCGATACCCGCCCCCTTCGTCTTCGATCGTACCCCCTCTGGGGGGAACATCGTCCTGACCTGCCACGTGCATTGGGCGCAGCCCCTAAAAGAGCAAGAGGAGTGAGAAAGGAGAGAGAGAGAGAGAGAGAGAGAGAGAGAGCGACAGAAAGAGAGAGGGACAGAGAGAGAGAGAGAGGGAGAGGGAAAGCGAGGAGGAAAGGAGTGGGGGAAGGGAGGGAGGCAAGGGACAAGAGGGAGGGAGCAGAACTGCGGACGAGAGAAGCAGCAATGGGGCCGCAAAAGGGCAGCAGCGGGGCCACGAAGGGCAGCATTGGGGCCACCGAGGGCACGAGCGAGCGGGGGCCACGAAGGGCGTATACATGGGCCACCGAGGGCAGCAACGGGGCCACAATGGGCAGCGATGGGGGCCACTGAGGGCAGCAGCGGGGCCACGAAGGGCAGCAATGGGGCCACTGAGGGCACTGACGGGGCCACAGAGGGCAGCAAGGGGGCCACGAGGGGCTACGCTGGGGCCACGAAGGGCAGCAATAGGGCCACTGAGGGCGCAAGCGACGGGGGGCCACGAAGGGGAGCGTCTGGGCCACTGAGGGCAGCAGCGGGGCCACAATGGGCAGCGGGGGGGGGCACAAGGAGCCATACGCTGGGGCCACGAAGGGCAGCAAGGGCCGCTGAGGGCACGAGCGACTGGGGGCACGAAGGGCGAACATGAGGGCCACAAAGGGCAACGAAGGGGCCACATTGGGCAGTGGGGTGGGGGCATACGGGGCTACACTGGGTCCACGAAGGGCAGCAATGGGGCCACTGAGGGCACGAGCGAGCGGGGGCCACGACGGGCGTGTTTCTGGGCCTCACAGGGCCTACGCCAGGGCAACGAAGGTCAGCAATGGGGCCATTGAGGGCACGAGCGACTGGGGGCCACGAAGGGCGTATAGATGGGCCACAAAAGGCAGCGAGGGGGTCACTGAGGGCAGCAGCGGGGCCACGAAGGGCAGCAATTGGGCCACTGAGGGCGCAAGCGACGGGGGGCCACGACGGGCGTATAGATGGGCCACAAAGGGCCACCGCCAGGGCAACGAAGGTCAGCAACGGGGCCATTGAGGCCACGAGCGACTGGGGGCCACGAAGGGCGAATCTATGAGCCACAAGGGGCAGCGAGGGGGCCACTGAGGGCAGCGGAGGGGCGGCACACGGGGCTATACTGGGGCCACGCAGGGCAGCAATGGGGCCACTAAGGGCACGAGCGACTGGGGGCCACGAAGGGCGTATATATGGGCCACAAAAGGCAGCGAGGGGGCCACTCAGGGCACGAGCGACTGGGGGCCACGAAGGGCGTATATAGGGGCCACAAAGGGCAGCGAGGGGCCACTGAGGGCAGCATCAGGGCCACGAAGGGCAGCGACTGGGCCACAAGGGGAGGGACCACGAAGGGCAGCAATGAGGCACAAAGGGCGCGAACGAGCATGGGGCACGAAGGGCATGACCCTGACGGGCGGGCCGAGCGGGCGGATCGATGGTGAGTTCTGCGCGATTAGCCAGGAAGTTTCCAGCGAGAGAGCGATTCCTAAGTACACTTAAAGAAAACCCCCACATTCCTGAATGGCAAGAGCGCGGTGCCTGAGTAAATTACGAGGAAGTTTCAGGCGGGAACCGCGATACGGTTGTTGTAAATTGCAAGGAAATCTCAAGCTGGGAGTACATTTCAAGTATCACGCGGGAACAATTGTTGTTGTTATTGTTGTTGTTGTTGTAAACAGGGGGCAAATAAGACAGTTTGAGGAATATTTTCCCTGATAGATACAAGGTGCGAGCGCCGGGAGGGGCACTTCAATTGAAAAATACAATGTGCACCGGAGGGGGAATCAACAATCTTCATTCTTCAGTACTGAGAGTTCAGCAACAACAACAACGCAACAAGCAGAATTCTCACCACGAATTCCTTATTCAGCCACGCACCCAGGGACAATGAATGACCGTTCGGCCCCCTCACTCTGACAAACTATGGAGTTCTCGAGACTGAGATAGAGCGCGTCATTTGCGGCCATATCGAATACAGGGGCGATCCTTGTCACATGCTACGGCCTTCTGCGCGGTTGCAATAAGTGCTGCTCTGGTATGGTGTTGTGCCTTCCTGCGCCCATCTAGGATATGAAAAAATGCTGCTGCATCCTGCGTTCGTGTCTTTCCTTCTCCCGGCCCACCCGACGGGACGCCCACGTGCGATGCATCGGGTTCATGCTCGTCGCGAAACGCCGTCGCGATAACGGGTGCCAATGCGTGCAAGTGCCCTACGATTAGAGTGGCTCGTGTCGCCTTTGCTTTCCTCTATCATCCTCCCTTCTTGTCGTCGTCGTTGTCGTCGTCGTCGTCATCGTCGTTGTCGTCCTGTTCCTCGTCGTCGCTGCCATCGACGGCGTCGTCGTCATTTCCCTTCTCTTCCACCTCCGGTTCCTCTACATCCACCTCAAGCCCCTCCTCCTCCCTCCCTCTACTACTCCGCCTCTTACATATCCTCCTTCTCCTCATCCGCCGCCGTCTGCTCCTCCCCGCCCTTCGCTCCAGTCCTCCCACACGGCCGCATGATTGAAGAGCGACATCGTTAAGTGGTTCCGGATCAGGTCCTTACCTGAGCAGCGGAGGTCCAGTGGATACCAGAAGGAGAACTCGCCGCGCATCTTCTGAAGAAGCTCCTGCGAAAACAAAATGATTGTCAATATCACAACCAAAGATTCATGCCAATCCCGAAGGTTGTCCGGAATTGTGGCGAGGACACCGTGAAAGGAATCGGGCGATACGCTGGTAGGGATGGGAGATCGGTAGGGAATGGGGGATGCACTCCATCTAAAGAGCGAGCTTTCAACTCGCTGCAGAATCGCTTAGAGAAGAAATGCGTGCCCATGCAACGCGTTCGAGACATATGACCGCACTTGTATGAGTCGCGCACGCGCGCATTCAACACACAACTTGTACTGGTCTTACGACACCAGAGAAAACCCGAAACAATGGATTCCTTGTTCGTCAGCAGGCGCTCCGCGCCGGCCCTGTCTCTGTCTATTTTTTTGTTTGGTCTCTCTCTCTCTCTCTCTCTGCTTCACACTTCGCACCCCCCCCAGCATGGCGAGGTCCCGTGTGGGTCCGCGTGGGGCCCCGATGTGCTGCACCCCCAGCAGCCCTTTAAAATGGCGACCGTTTCACACTTCGCGGCCCCCAGGGATGGCGAGGTCTCGTTTGGGTCCGCGTGGGACCCCGCTGTGCGGGCACCCCCAACAGCTCTCGACAAGGGCGACAATTTCAGACGTCGCAGCCCCCCAGGGATGGCGAGGTTCCGTTTGGGTCCGCGCGTGGCGCCACTGTGCGGCCTCCCCCAACAACCCTCGACACTGGCGACAATTTCACACGTCGCACCCCCCCCCCAAGGATGGCGAGGTTTCGTTTGGGTCCGTGTGGGGCCCTACTATTTTGACCCCCAGCACCCCTCGCAAATGGCGACAACTTCACACTTCCAACCCTTCCGGGGATGGCGAGGTCCAGTTTGGTTCTGCGAGGGGCCCCACTGCGCGGGCTACCCCAGCAACCCTCGAACGTGGAGACAATTTCACACTTCCGCCCTTCAGGGATGGCGAGGTCCCGTTTGGGTCTGCGTGGGGCCCCACTGTTTTGGCTCCCCCAGCAACCCTCGAAAATAACAGTATTTTCACACCTCGCAGCCTCCCAGGGATGGCGAGGTCCGTTTGAGTTCGCGTTGGGCCCCGCTGTACGGGCTCACCCAGTAGCCCCCGAAGGAAGGCCCCAGGGCTGGCGAGGTCCTGTTTGAGCTCGCGTGGGGCCGCACTGTGCGGGCTCCACAACATCCATCGACAGTGTCGACATTTTTACACTTCGCAGCTCTCCAAGGATGGCGAGGTCCCGTTTGGGTCCGCGTGGGGCCCTGCTATGATGGCTCCCCCAGCCGCCTGAAAGATGCTACATGTTTACACCTCGCGGCCCCCGAAGGATGTCGAAGTACCGTTTAGGTCCGCGTGGGGCTCCATTGTGCGCCCCCCCCAGCACCCCTCGAAAGTGGCGACACTTTCACACTTCGCAGCCCCCCAAGGATGGCGAGGTCCCGTTTGGGTCCGCGTGGGGTTCCGCTGCGCGGGCTCCCCCAGCAGCCCTTGAAAGTGGCGAGCGTTCCGCACTTCGCGGCCCCCCAGGGATGGCGAGGTTCCGTTTCGAGTGGGACCCCGCCGCGCGGGTTCCCCCAGCAACCTTCGAAAATGACGACCATTTCACAGTTCGCAGCTCCCCAACGATGGCGAGGTTCCGTTTGGATCCGCGTGGGGTTCCGCTGTGCGGCTCCCCCAGCAGCCCTCCAAAGCGGCTACATTTTCACACTTCCCAGCCCTCGAAAGTGGAGGCCAGCGGAAGCCCGAAAAGGCGATAATCGAAATAATCCGGGCGAAAAACCCAACCACATGTAGTTGTGAGAAACGCGTTGTGGGTGCCGCTTCCGGTGGGCCACGCAACGCGTGATGGGGCGTGCGGTAGTGTGTGTGTGTGTGTGTGTGTGTGTGTGTGTGTGTGTGTGTGTGTGTGTGTGTGTGTGTGTGGGGGGGGGGGGGGGGGGGGGGGGGGGGGGGCGCATGCGGGTGGTCCCTTTGGGGCCTTCGGTGGAGCTCCCTGTGGGGCCACGGCGCGCTGTAGTGGGTTGTGGAGAGGCATGCGGGCGGTGCGATTGGGGCCTTCTGTGAAGCCATGTGGGGCCACGGAACGCTGTACTAGGAGGGAGGGACGCATGCGGGCGGTCCCACTAGGACGGTCCCATTTGGGCCTTCGCTGGAGCTCCATATGGGGCCACGAACAGCTGTACTGGGTGTGGCGGACGCATGCGGGCACCCTCACTGGGCCCTTCGGTGGAGCTCCCTATGGGGCCACGAAGCGCTGCACGGGGTGGGGCGGGCGCATGCGGGCACCCCCACTGGGGCCTTCGGTGGAGTTCCCTATGGGGCCACGAAGCGCTATACTGGGTGTGGCGGACGCATGCGGGCACCCCACTGGAGCCTTAGAAAGAGTTCCCTACGGGGCCACGAGGCGCCGTGCTGGGTGTGGCGGGCGCATGCGGGCACCCCCATTGAGGCCTTCGGTGGAGATCCCTGTGGGGCCACGAAGCGCTGTACTCGGCGGGGGAGACGCTGGGAGGGGCCATGAAACGCTGTGCTGAGTGTGGCTGACGCATGCGGGCGCCCCCACTGGGGCCTTCGGTGGAGCTCCCTATGGGGCCACGCAGCGCTGTACTGGGTGGGGGAAGCGCAAGGAGGAGGAAGTAGGGGGAGGAGGGGAGGAGGAGGGGAGGAGGAGAGAGATGAGGGAGGAACGCGGGGACCGTCTCTTCAAAACGAAGACCCAACACCACAGGATGGTTGGAGAAAAACATCGCGTTGCCCTGCGACGTATCCGACCCATCGGCACCAAATATTATCTAAGACGTGCAGAGCATAGTGCGGCAGCAACACCGCAAGAGGCAGTGCACGGCGGATATCGATATCGTGCGAAGTGTGCGTTGTCGTCGTCGTCCTCCTCCTCCTCCTCCTCCTCCTCCTCCCTCTCCTTCTCCTCGGCGTCCTCCTCCTCCGCCTTTTCCTCCCGCCTCCTTCACATCCTCCACCTCCCTCTCCTCCCCCCCTACCCGTCCTCCTCCGGATCTGCGTGCGGCCCCACTGTGTTGCGCACCCGAGCAGCCCACGAAGCTGCGACAGCTTCACGCTTCGCAGCCCCCCTCCAGGGATGGCGAGGTCCTCGGGGTTTGCGTGGGGCCCCACTGCGCAGGCTACCCCAACAACCTGCAAGAGTGGCTACAATTCCACACTTCGTAGCTCCCCCCCAAGGATGGCGAGGTCCCCTAGCCATTATCGACAGCGGCAACAAGTTCACACGTCGCAGCCCCCTAGGGGCGGCGAGGTTCTGTTAGTTTGAAAAAGGGCTGGAAGGCCCAGCCAACAGCTTCGACTGAGGCGAAGCTAAGCTCCAACTCTGCTGTACCGTAGTGACGATAGTCCCAATACGAGAGGAGATACCATCTCAAGCCATAGGAAGATCCTTTTGGTCTCGATAGCGATTGTGTGCTTCGCAGGAGGCACAGTCATATTTGGGCGGCCGGCCGCTTGAGCCGACGCGGCCGCGGGCGCGCGCTCGCTTCCAATCCTTACGTCCCTCAGCTCGCCTTAGAGTCGGGGGGGGGAGACGAAGCGTGAACCCGTCGCCCCTATGCAGCAGGCATAACAGCTAACATACACAAGGACAGAAAAGGAAGCGGGCCTAAAGGAAGGTGGACCCTCGCATGTATGTGACGCACTCATCAGGCGGCGTCAGAAATTGATGTCTGGCCAGCCCGATGTGGAGTATGTCTCTTCAGGTCACGTTTGAAGGTCTGTATGCCTCCCATGACTTGTAGGAGCATTTCTCTGTCGATGCGCTCCTTGGTGTGGCCATGCGCAGTCATATCGCGGAAATCGCACCACGGAATGCTGTGCACGATTCCACGCTCCTTCATCTGTTGTATCCAACTGATGTGTGCTAAAAGGGTACACGCAGTCGGCTTCTTCAAGTCTTTGCTTGTCAAGGACTTAAGCACAGACTCCGCATCGATGGTCAAAGTGACCTTGATGCTCAGGCCACCCAACTCAAGTATATATTTCAACTGAGTGGGCGTGAGCGGCCCCGCGTGGAGCTCGTGCAGAGTCACAATCGAGGGAGAACCGTCCTCCGAATTATGGGCTGCTGCTAGTGTCTCTGCTGAATAACTCGAGCGGACCTGCAAGCGGTGAGACTTGCAGCGCGCATCAATCAAGTGAACGACAGGCTTGCCAGATAACGTGTTTACACGTCTTGGCAGGTTTGCCCCGCGAATACCATAGCCTTTGACGTCGTCATCGGCGTCTCCACTCAAGTGCCGATATCCTGAGTCGCTATGTAGGTCGACCTCGCCCGTGGGGTTCATGGCCTGGTAAAAGATCTTCGTCGGGCAGGCCTGTAGCTTTCTGGTGATCGCGTTCAGTCGTCGTGCTTGAATGTTGGTCGGTTCTTGGACGCGTTGTAGAGATGCAACATACACCATTGATCACACCTAGATTAGTGCGCATGCCAGCGCGCCCCTGAGGCTGAGAAACGTGTCTGCCACCATCTTGGTTGCCTGAGCGTCAGCGTCGGCGCTGGTTAGTTCGGGATGTTGTATAGGACGGAGCTGTTTGATATATGCATCTTGATCCAAAGTGATATTGCCGTCCTCGTCCTTGGTGTATCTCACAGCACAATTGGTATATGTGTGCCTGTTGAGTTTACACTTACCAAAAATATTTGCAACGCATGTGGCATATTTGCCAATGGTGTCCTCAGTGCCGGCCATATTAATGTCATCAACATGCTTGGCCGTGAGCATGTTGTCGCTCGTCTCGAACTCCTCGTCGTAGGACGTGGGTCGGAGACCGAATCCTCTTGTGATTCTTCTGAGCTTAAGTGAGAAAGCCCGTGGAGCGTCATTAGTGCCTGTGACTGGTTTTAAGCACTGCAGGCAGTGCTTTGACCCGTCGTAGTGCTCGAACCCTGGGAGAGTCCGGAGCACTGTGGCCGATCCAGGCGGCAAAGTAAAACGCACCGCGCGTTCCTTCTCACCAGTAGTCTCAGCAAGTTTCTGATAGGTCAATTCCCTTCA